GACTAATAGCAATGGTACAGTTTACGGAAGGTTCACTATGTGCCGACCACTATGGCAAGCATTTTACATGCACCGTCTCATTTAATCCCCATAACCAACCATGAGGCGGATACCGTCATCCTCCCTGTGTTCCACAGGAAGGGACCGAGGTGGAGAGAGGTGAGGTTACTTGCCCAAGGTCACACACTCACAAGTGGCTGAGCCAGGCCTGCTGACCTCAAAGCCCAGGCCCTCTGCCACCCCACGCCCTGCACGGCAGTGAGGGCAACCTGGTCCAGGCCCCAGCAGCACCTGCACGGGGCCGTGTGATGGGTGGAGCAGCTCAGTGCCTTGTTGGGCTGAGAGCAAGGCTCGTCTGGGCTCCACACGTCACCTGTGCCCAGGTGGGCAGATTTCCTAGGAACCCGCACGCGAGTCCACGTTCAAAGATCCCCAAAAGGGACTTTGACGACCGAGGGGAGGATGACTCTAAAAAGAGGAACTGTAGGCTATAAAATTACACCTTACTGCATTGAAAAAAGAAAAATTAAATTGATCGATTCAATCCACCCTGTGCTTGGTAAGAACAGCATCAGCGGAAATAAATCAGTGTGGCTGCACAGGGAACTCTCGAATGGACCAGGTATTAGAAGGACACAGAAGAAAAATTGGAAGAGGGACATGTGATCCAGGGCAGAAGTCTGCCGAGAGCCTGAGGCTATGATGCAGCAAAGAGGCTGAATCTGAAAAACAACAACAAAAAACACTCTAAGGATGGCAAAACAGTGCTGTTTCTTTTGGATCGGAAACAAGGAGCAGAGAGGCCCCGTGCTGAGGCAGATGGTATCATGTCACACGATGGGGAAAAGCAGGATTCTCGGCTCTCAGCTTTTCTGTTTTCTTTATTGAGGCAAATGGTCCTTGGTTAGAAATGTTCAAAAGCCACTTCGAAGAGGAAACTGAATCTGGGTAGGTGAGAAAAACGGGAGCCATGAATTCAGGTTTCTAAGCACCGGTGAAAGATGACGCATGCACAGAGTGGAGTCTGGGACGTGGCATCATTCCATCAGAATTTGTTGACTGGACCGAATGAACCCCCTGGTGTTGAACAGACTTGCAGGTGTGACCTCAGTCTTTGAAACTCATGAAGCATCGCAGAGCCAAAAGGCTAGTGATGAGTCCGTTTTCTACTCTTCACGTGGGGAAAAAAAAAACAACACATGAATTCTGATCCTTGTCAAAATTCTAGATGGGATTATTTTCAAAAATGTGAATATTCAGGACATTTCGAGATTACTAAGGAACCACTGGTGTTTACTGAGAAGCCGTGGAAAACAAATGTCATGTCCGTTTCTGAGTGGAGTTACAAGGCTTGTAGCGCCCACGGACATGGCAGACACTGTGATTTCAGAAAATTATTTCATTACCAAAGTTTCCTGTAACAACCTAACAGACAAGTTACAGGAATGTGGGCTGGGTGGTACCAGTTAGATGCTTTTGGAGTCTGTGGAACAGTTTCACCCTCCACGGGTCCATGGCTCTGTCCTTGGCCCAGTCCCATCTGACATTTTGCTTTTCAACATCACATAAAGGTACAGGCTGGCCATTGACCCATTCCTCAGAAACCCCAAACCTGTCCGATAGATAAAATATTCAAAAGATTTCTCCTTGATGGAACAAAATAAACAGGATATTGAACAAGATGCATAGAAAGTCCTAGGTTACGGAAAAGGCCGGTTGCGTCCACAGAACACGCGGCCGTTCGTCACGCTTCGCCACCACTGGCGTGGAAAGACCACGTTCGTTTGCAAGTCAGTTGGAAGCCAGTGAAGACAAGCCTGCTGAAAAGACACCTGCAATCCCAGGGCACAGGAGAAGGTGTGAGGGCGTCTCTCCACTCTGGTCTATATCTTTTGAATCTGCATTTTCCTTGAGACGTCTCCTGGGAAATTCGAGGGCGAGCAGAGGCGGGCAGCCCTTTTATGACAAAATGATAAATGATGTGGAGGTGCTGGCTGAAAAAAGAACACTTCAGTGGATCATGAGACCTGTCTTCAAATGTCCGAATGTCTTTCATGTAAAGTATACAGTATGTATCCTCTGTTTCCCTCGAGAGGGCAAAACTGAATTCAGTGGCTAGCAGCCCACCCATCAAATTCTAACAGAAAGAAGTTTTCAATACCTAGAGCACAGGGCCCTGCAGTGAGCTTCTGCGAAACAGGGAATTCCACCATCAGGGGAAAGAGTGGGAGCTGGAAGGGAGGAAGGTGCAGGGGACTCCTGCACATCTCAGCTGGAACAGGTGACTCCTATGGGTTCTTTCATCACATATGTTATAGGATTTTAATTACGACCATTGTTGTTTATTGAGCTGATACTATGTGCCAGAGCGGGGTTAAGGTCTTTGTGTAGACAGTCCCATTGCATCTTCATACCAGATGAGGAGACCGAGGTTCAGGGAGGCTACAATAGGTGCTCAAGCCCGCACAGTGGTAGGTAGAAGAACGGAAGTTGATCCCAGGTCTGAGTTTAAAGGATATGCTCTTAACATCTATGTTATATATGATCCCTAGTCTATATACTTCATTCCTTCGCTCATTAACTGATGTCCTGGAATATCTTGTTCTTTACATCTTCTCTCCCTGGAAAACTCTTATTCATCCGTTTAGACTGAGTTCACCTTCTGTCTCCTCTCTGAGGTTGTTCCCAACTTCCTCCACACAAGACTGGTTGCTTCTCTTCTGTGTTGCATAGCAAGGGATGCATGTCGTATTCTACCTGGCCCTGAAGTGTTGGTTTCACTCTTTGGACTGCAAGCCCCAGTTTCCCAACGAGCCGGAACCACTGTGTATTCATCCCTGTCCCTCAGCACCACAAACGACACTTCGGAGATGTTGGTACTCAGCGCGTTTATGTTTTTTCACTCCATTCATTTACTCAGTCAAGAAACAAAAAAGAATAACATCTTACTTATTTTTCTCCCTCTTCTCTCTTCCCCCTTTAATTCTTTAGTTCTTCCTGCATAAAACTTCACATATCATTCTCCTACTCAACCACCTTTAGTGTCCCTTTGTATTCTACAGAACAAAGTACACGAGCCTTAGCATGATGTTCAGGGGCCTCCACAATACGATCGTCACACACCCCCCAGGCTTGTCATCCACCCCCCCATGCCTTCTTAGCCCTTCCCAATCTCTGTCTTCACTGCCTTCTGCAATCCCCTCATCTTTGCTCATATTACTCTCTTTTCTTGAAAAACTTCTCTCCCATCCTCATTATTTTCTCTCAAAATACTACTCATTTTTTAACATCCCAGTTCAAACACTACCTTCCTTGGGAAGCCCAAACTCATTCCCTGACCAGGAAAATCCTCCCTTCTCTATATTCCCTGAGTCTTTTCTACGGCTTTGTTTTGGCGACAATTTTCTAATGTTCTGTTTCATTCTAGTCTTTGGGTCCATCTGATCCAAAAGATTGTCTAACAGGTACTCTACCTTATTATCTCCAAATTTCTTGTGATATATAGCGTTGTCTGTCACTGTAGCCCAAGTTCCCAAGGCACTACTCAACACCTATTTCATAAATAAGTGATGTGGAATGAATGAATGAATGAATGAATGAATGAATGAATGAATTCACCAGAAGAGCTGCATTGCATCACCAGTTTGCACTTTAACTAAATATGTGATTTGGGGTATTAAATCTAAATCTCTCCAGACCCCATTTTCTTTATCAAAAAAAAGGTGGTCAAGGAGAAGGAAGAAAAGGGAACTCATTTTATGAATGACTTGCCATGCTGTGTGTAAGACGATGTGCTAGAGGCGTTATTTACCTTACATGCCAACGATGGGGGGCGGGGTACTGTACAAGCAGTGAAAAGCATGGGTTTAGGATAAGGCTCACTTGAGTTCAAGCCCTGGCTCTGCCACTGCTAGCTGTGAGGTTGGGCAAATTAATCTCTTAAACCTCTATTTCGTCAGCTGTTAAGTGGTGATAATAAGGGAACCTACTAGTGAGTTTGTTGAGAGGACTAAATGAGATGCTGCATATAAGGCACATGGCCATTGACTGGCATCTAATAGTTGCATAATAAACAGTAGCTCATGATTATTATTATTGTTCTATCACCTGTGTGTCTTATTGTTCAGTTTAACCAGTGAAGAGACTCCAAAAGGTTAAACACCTTGCCCAAAGTCACACGTATTTTCTGCAGGCATTGCGTCTCCCTCTGCCCACTGGACCCTCCAGCACAAATCCTTCTGGAATGGCCATGAGCCTGTGTTCTCATTTCACTGTGAAATTCTAGGAAGTCATCTCCACGTTGCTACTTCTCAAATATGCCCAGATTTTAACATTTTCATATCTGGACATTTAACATTTAATATTGAGTGTCTAAAAGTAGTGTCTATTTTCTCATGGTTATTCTTCTGTTTAATAAAGGTCATAATCTGAGTTATAAGAGTATATGGATATAACTTTCTCCCTATGAGTCTTGAAGCTAATAACACTTCCCCCTATTATTTGCCTTTTCTTTTTGCAAAAAGATCTAAATGCCAATCACTACTCCTTTATGACCAAATGTGGTATGAGCGTCTCTGCCCCGTGAAGGAAGCCACACCCCACCAGGGCACTCAGTAGGCATTTGATTTGGAAGGAGAAAAGGAGGAGGAGGAGGAGATAGTAATCAGCAGGGTTATTAGGGTTTCCTTTGGAGAAGGATGTGATGCACAGACTTAGAAGTTTTACCGAGAACATACAAGTAAGCAGAACATTATCAAAGGTATAGACCTTACACGTAAGTATTCATGCCCTAAAGGCGGAAGAGGGCTGCCCCTGGCGCATGCACGGGTGGGTTTTATTTGTCAAGTCCCTGACCTGGAGGCATCAACAGGCCATCAGGGGGCTGCAGCCTGCTGAGCCCTTTTTGCTACAAACATGGTCCGATAAAGTAGCTCCAAAGCAGTTTGATCATGTGGAAAAAAGCGCCAATCTAACCCATTTGTCGTTGATTTCTTAAGCAGATTCAGGCACACAGGACGAAGCACAGCTTTTGCAGGAGTGGTTTAAGCTGGTTCTGGAGAAGAATAAATTAATGCGATATGAGTCGGAGCTACTGATCATGTAAGTAAGGCAACACAGATAATGGTGAGCCCTAAACGCAAAGCAGGCGGGCGTGGGGTGGCTCGCCCTCCACGGTGCAGCCCCAGGGTCTGCTCTTCTTGTGCATACAGAATTGTGATTGAGGCAGATTGATATTTGGTGTCTTGCATATCATGCTGGCATTAGTGCAGAGGATCTTCTGTTGTCTACTCTTCCCGTGAAGTCCTATAGCTAAAATAGATTTCAGGTAATGGGGCTGGAGCTGGAGGGCATTTGGGAAAAGTACTTTCAACTCATCCCTGTCTCCCAGACCAACGGGACCCGCCTGCAGTCACCCGCCTGCAGTCACACACCTGCCATGGGGAAGCATGTCCCGGGCCTTAGCATGAACCACAGGAAATGTTGGCGAGAGCTGCCTGGGCACTTCCTTGTGGCTTTAGTGGAGCGAGGGACTGAGATCTGTCTGGCCGTCCTCCCTGAATGAGGGGTACCAGCCTGGCTTGGGGATCAGAAAGTGAGATGGATCTCCACACACTCTGACAAAGTTGAAGGTCACCTGTCACCACTCTGGAGAGAAAGAACGTAACATTTAATGCAAAGCAATTAAGTGCCACAAGTTGTACTGGGTGCTTTTACGTATGCCGTCTTACCTCACTTTCACCCCAATCCCGGGAGGTCTTATAAAGTCTATTCCTTTCCCTTGGCTAGGTTCTGAACCCGGTGAGAAATAAAACTACCGAGGCAATAGATGTCTGGGCTAAATAAGAGAGCCCGGGTAAGCTTGTTATCTGTGTCACTGTGCCAGGGCTGGAGTAACAAACTACCACAAACCGCGTGCCTTACAACAGCAGAAGAGGATTCTCTCGCTGTTCTGGAAGAGGGAAGTCCGAATCACGAGGGCAGGAGGGCCATGCTCCCCCCGCCTCTCCCGCCTCTGGTGGCTCCAAGCATCCCTTGGCCTGGTGGCTGCTTCACTCCAGTCTCTGCCTCTGTCTTCACACGGCCTTCTCCGTGTCTGTCTTCTCCTCTTCCTCTATAAGGAGACTTGTCACTGGACTTACGGTCCACTGGGATCATCTAGAGTGTCATCTCTAGGTCCTTCTCTACACCCATTACACCTGCAAAGACCTTTGTTCACATAGGTCACATTCACAGGTTCCAGGGGTCAGGATGTGCACATAGCTTTGGGGCCATCATTCAACCCATGCCACTAACCGAACTCCTGAACAAGACATACTTATCGACATAGTCACAAAATGTAACGGACCCACTTACTTTTTAAGGGCAAAGCTTTTACACTCCACCAGTGGGACTCAACGGACTATTATCTTGCCTCCCCAGAGAATATTTGGCAATGTCCGGAGACATTTTTGGTCGTCACAACTAGGAGGTGCTACTGGTACTTGGTGACGAGGGGCCAAGGGTGCTACTAAACATTCGACAATGCACAGGACACCCCTCTCCCCCAGCAGCTAAGAATTATCCAGCCTAAAATGTCAATGGTATCAAGATGGAGGAATCTTGTCCCTACAGCAAGGCTCAGTGTAATCAAGAACACATATCTGCTGCAGGCAGGCTAACCTCAGGGGAAAGGATGTGCGCTGAGTTCATCGTCTCTTCTTCCCAGATTTACCTCCCCTGGGGTGAGGGGGGCGAATGGGGGCTAGGGGAGGAGGCCAAGAATTACGCTCATCAAGCTCCACGGATGGAAATTCTGGGAATGGAGAAGGGGTCATTTGCAGTCATTGTTATTTCCATCACTATTTTTAAGTTGATGCATGCACTGCTACTCACCTACTGAGTAATTTGTTCATGTCCACCTGGCTACAAAGTCTTTTTTTTTATTTTTTTTATCCTCACCCGAGGACATTTTTCCATTTTTTGTTCAGATAGAGCGGGAGGGAGAGAGAGGAAGAGAGAGAGAGAGAGAGAAACATCGATGTGAAGGGACACATTGAGTGGCTGCCACCCGCACGACCAACCAGGGCCGGGGACAAACTGCAACTGAGGTACGCGCCCTTAGCGGGAACCGAACCCGGGTCTCTCTGTACCGCAGGCTGACGCTCCAACCGCTGAGCCAAACCGGCCAGGGCTACAAAGTCTTTTTAACATAATCATACCGTCTGCTTTTGGGTCAGGTTGAATTATGAAATTCATTCAACAAAAACATATCAAGCATATTATATTCTAGGTGCCAGGAACTGTGCTGGGTACGTGGAAATAAAAATGAAAGAGGGCGCAGTCCCTATCTTCTAGGCTTTCATGGTTTCGGGGGAGGCCGACATGCAAACACACAGCACAGCAGTAGTAAGACATGGCAAGAATTCACGGAGGTGTGTAGGAGGCTCAGTCTGCACAGGGTCTACCTGGGAGAGTCGGTGCTGGTGGCTTCCCGTTAGCACTCTGCAGGGGGCACTCTTTGAAAGAGAGAGAGAAATCAATTGGTTGTTCCACTTATTTATGCATTCATTGGTTGATTCTTATGTGTGTCCTGAACAGGAATTGCCCCCACAAACTCGGCATATCAGGACAAGCTCTAACCAACTGACTCTTCTTTCCCCCGCTCCTACAAGCAGATGTTGTCCGAGTTTTATTGCCTCCACCTGGACAAAATGTCTCACTCATGCTTCTGCTTTCTCACTTTCTTGTCCACCACAGTCAGAGATTTGGGAGTGGTTAGAGGTGATACTTGAAGCCATGGCGCCCCCCAAAAGAGAGAAGAGTTTTGGATTGTCGTGGCTTCCCCCAGACTACTCTAGTTACTTCTTCAAGGTCCTTCAGTAGCAGGTGGCTTGAACGGCCTTCCAAAAGCCTACCGAGGTCACACCTCCACCTTCAGCTGCTCCCCACGGCTTCTTGAGTTCAGCACATCTTAGCAATCCTTCTCGGCACCTTCAAGGCAAAACTTTCAGTTTAGAGACACAGTTGTCCCTTGTTTATCGCGGTTAATCCGTTCCAGACTCTAGCGGTTGCAGCTGGCGTTGAAGGATTCCTGGGGTGCTCGAATACATAGGCCTACAGTCCATATGTATAGTAATTTTAATTGTAATTGTAATACAGGGGTGTATAATTGACTCAGACAACCGAGCGCGTGCTGTATCATTTTCACTGTCTCGATCAACTTTTTAATGAATATATTTGAGAAAACAGTGATAGAGTGAAGCCGCGAAAGTCGAAGCGGGAAGTGGCGAGGGACGACTGTATTCCAGAGAGAAATAGAAACATCAATGTGAGGGAGATACATCCATTGCTGCCCCCTGCACGCCCCCTACTGGGGATCGAGCCCACAACCCGAGCATGTGCCCTGACCAGGAATCGAACCAGGACCTCTCAGTCCATGGGACGACGCTTGATCCACCGAGCCACACCAGCCAGGCTGGAGATATTCCAGTTTTAATAAGAAAAAAAGAATGCCGTAGCTGTTGTCAGTGGGCTTATTTGCCACTGTGTCTACACAAATTTCTAGTATTTATAAGGTGTGCATGCTTTCTCCTCCCTAGGGCCCAAGAGCTAGAATTAGAAGATCATCAAAGCAGACTGGAGCAGAAATTAAGAGAGAAAATGCTCAAGGAGGGTGAGTACGGTGATATGTTTTGGGTCCTTGTCGAAGACATTTCCCCCAGAAAGACATGTGAGCAGAACACGCTGCGAAGCGCGGAGCGGAGCGCCTGCCCGCCCGGAGTCGGCAGGCAAAGCCAGCCTTCCCTGCTCACCCCCGCAGCACAGCACACCCCGGGTGGCTGCTCACGGGGCCCGTGAGAGCAGCACTAACGCGGCTCCATCCCAAGTGCGAATGGGAACACAGTCCTTTATCCATGCATTCGTGCGCTCACCTGTGCATTCCCTTAACACGTATCTGTGGAGAATCCAGCGTGTGCCTGGCATATGGAGAAGACCCACTGTGCCCTGTGGTATCACTGTGGGGACCAACACCCGGGACCATAATTATGGTGCAGTGAGATGAGGGGCACACGCAGGTGCTTCGGGACCACAGAGGAGCTGGTCAAAAAAACACCCTTCCCAGCATCCTTCCAGGGCTTTGCATGTGAGAAAACTATTTTCACCACACAGAGAATTGTTGTAAACTCAATTGACGCCATATACTGGCATATACATCCAATGGCTCTGGCCAGCTGGGCACATTCACTCTATTTTGCACCAGTGTGTTTGTGGGGCCAGATCCATACATGACTTTCTTACAGTAAGACCGAAGTCTTGTCTGGCTGGTGTGGCTCAGTGTTTGAGCGTCAACCCATGCACCAAGAGGTCGCTGGTTCAATTCCCAGTCATGGCACATGCCCAGGTTATGGGCCTGATCCCCAGTGGGGGGCATGTCCTCTCTTACCAATGTTTCTCTCTCTCTCTCTCTCAAATCAATAAAGCTAAAAAAAAAGACCTAGGTCTTAAAGAACAAGTCAAGTAATTTCTTTACACCTTAAGGACAGAACACTGCACCTACCGATGGGGTTGCCTGGTACAGGGCAAGCACTCAGTAACTATTAGACATCATCATCATTAATATTTTTATTTCAGTCTTTCATCCCCATTTTACAGATTAGAAAACTGAGTCTGAGAATTTAATAAGCAAGCTTGAGGTAAATGATAGGGCTAAGATTAAAGAACAGATCACCACAGACTCAGGGTCTCCTGTTAGTATGACTTGTAGACTGTTTCTTTATAGCAACAGAGTTCTGTTTCTGACAAAACCCTTACAGAGCTGCGCTGTACAGGATGGATGGAAGTGGGGCTCAGCCCTGGCCAGTGTGGCTCAGCGGTTAGAGCGTCGGCCTGCGGTCCAGAGAGACCCGGGTTCGGTTCCTGCTAAGGGCATGTACCTCGGTTGCAGTTTGTCCCCGGCCCTGATTGGTTGTGCGGGTGGCAGCCACTAGATGTGTCCCTTTCACGTCGATGTTTCTCTCTCTCTCTCTCTTCCTCTCTCTCCCTCTCACTCTATCTGAACAAAAAATCGAAAAATGTCCTCAGGTGAGGATAAAAAAAAAGAAAGTGGTGCACAGCATCTTCTATTTGTTGCAAGGGGCTCAATTGGGTCCATCGATGACAAGCCAAATTAAGAGAGGAATTTAAAAATGTTTTCTGAGTTAATTATCAAATAAGGAGCATCAAAACTGGAATATACTTAATTAACAAATCATCATACATAACTAAGATCTGATTTATAAATCTGATACAAAGTTTAATTCGCTGTTTCAGGGTGATAAAATAAATACCACCAAAAACTCTATTAGCCAACCTCAAATTTTTTTTTCAATTCTTACTAGGTGTAATGGGCATACATTTTCTCTCTCCTCTCAGGTGTACAAAAAAAAAAAAAGCTGCTTTATTTTGTCTGTACCTGAGCTTCCACAAAAGCTTCATCCCATTAATTAGCAAGAAAAAAAAAAAAAAAAAGAACTTTACATACCCTTCTCTGGTAAACTCAGTCTGATGCAACATTTTAAACAGTCCCTGCAGGAAATGCTCAATCTCTTTGGGACGGAAATGTTTGATGTTGCACACGGCCACCCCTTCCTTCTGCTCTTCTCCCTAAGGTGACTGCCAGGTAACGGGAGAGGCAGGTGTGTGTGAGTTTGGGGCATTAGGAATCTGCCTGGGCGGTGCTGAGTCGTTAAGTCCCCTCACAGCTGTCTCCTGTCCTTGGGCTGCCACTCTGCGGGCGTTAGTAGCTGCGGCTAGCGCAGTCCAGCCCGCCATCCTCCCACGGGAGCTCGTGGCGTCCCCGGCTCACCAGCTCAGCGCATCCTCCGTTCAGCGTGGCCAGACAGTCCACTCTCCAGCCTCCCCTGTGGGGCTCCTTCACTCCTCGCCATGCAGGAGCCCCAGGGGCCCCCGGCCAGCTCCCTTAGCAGCTCTGGGGCAAGTGAACACTTCTGGGCTCCACCCTTGCCACACACAGAAGATAAGATCAGGGAGTCACTCCCTCCTTCCCTGCCCAGCCTGGTTTATAGCAGGGCGCCATTCCGGCTGGCTTCTGCCCAGAGTTTCCAACAAGAGGCAAGGTGAGAGTCCTTGGTTCCCCAGTGTTCCCACCGAATGGTGTGACCTTTCCTGCCCCCTGGGGGGTTCGAAGGTCCAGAATGGAGAGACTGGAACACAGACAGGACTCTCACCATCCCATAAAACATGAGCTGCTGCACTGGCCAGTTTGGCTCAGCAGCGAGAGCAGCGGCCAGCACACCAAAGGGCCTCGGGTTCGATTCCAGTCAGAGGCATGTACCTGGTTGCAGATTCAATCCCTTGGCCTGCTTGGGATCGTAAGGGAGGCAACCAATCAATGTGTTTTCTCTCACATCGATGTTTCCCTCTCTCTCTCTCTCCCCCTCCCTTCCACTCTATCTAAAAGTCAATGGAAAAATATCCTCAGGTGAGGATAAAAAACATGAGCTGCTAAGGGAGTGGGCCTCTTTATTTCCCTGTTGTGACATATGTCATCCTGACCCTGCCCACTGATGTGAGGGACAGTGGCACTTTTCTGCCCTGGGAGGGGGCTCACCGCCTCGTCCCCATGTGTTAACGGAAGGGGCTAAGGGGGCTTATCAAGTCCTGACAAGACTTAATTTGGCTCTAAGATCCTGTGTTGAGCGTCAGAAAGTCATCCCTGCGGTACGTTTCTTCCTCTTACCCTTGCTTTCGTAACAATCTTGTCTCCCCTAGGCAATTGGCTGTCTCGGGCCATTTAGGAAGAAGGTCACGTACTCCGGAAAGCTAAAGGGAAGAGCAGTCAGTCTGGAAACACCCTCCTATTGGCCGGCTGTGGTCCTCTGCTTCCCTTGGCCTCTACCCAAAGGGCTAGGATTCGCCATTAACTACAAACTGAAAAGGGTTCTCGTCACTGAAATACCAGCCACGGGTGCAGACAGTTTGCTTAGAAACTCGTTTTGCTGTAGCTCAGACATGTTCAGGGAGAACAGCCTTTTGCTGTTCGTAGGTTTCTCTTTTTGCAGAAAAGGGGAGTGTGGAGACCTTGGTGGGGCTTGGCTGGTATTAACTTCGTCTTCTCAGAGAGAGGCCCTCCCCCGTCACTGTGTGTATATTCTCAGTCCGACTGCAGCACAAAGCACCCACCGTTCCGCTCTGTGGCTTTGGGGCCAGTTCCCCGGTGTTCGATTCATTTCCTTGTTCTCTCCCCGGAAATCAAAGGGCAGAACAAGTCCAGAACAATCAAGAATGAACAGGCCCAGAGCTCTCCTGGGGCCACATCTTAGCTGAGGTTCGATGTTTTTCTTTTTCTCTTTCTGTAGAGAGCCAGAAAGATGAGAACGACCTCAGTGAGGAGCGAGAAATATTCACCGAGATGATGCAAGTGATTGAGCAGAGGAACAGGCTCGTGGATTCCTTAGAGGAGCAGCGCATACGAGAAAAAGCTGAAGACCAGCGCTTTGAAAGCTTCATATTCTCCAGGGGCTGTCAGCTGAGCAGGACGTGAGCGGGGCCTCTCCTCCGGAGCCCACCAAGGACGGAGCCCGCCACGCACACCTCACACGCTCCTGCTTCCTTTTGCAGTCTTTGTCATCCCTGCAGCTTAAGTTATACCAGATTGCAGTATGTTTGTAAAAATTCAGATTCTCTCATATGTGCTGCAGCTGCCCCAGATCCTCCCAGAGATGATCATGAAGAAAACACAAAGACGTGTTTGGAATTGGCAGTCAACCTCACAGGTCTCTCCGATTGGAGGTGACCTTGGCAGATGTCCAGCCATTGTTTTCCCTAGAAGGTGACCCCGAGATGGACTTTCCTTCTGCTTTTTATCATTTATCTGCCCCGTGCATTGAGTTACACATCTTAAGATTTTTAAGACGCTGCTTTTTCATTAATATATCCATATTTGCCCTTTTTTGCATGGATGACTGCTTTCCAAATGTCAGAAGGAAGCTGCAGCAGTTTAAAGATTAGGTTAATATTTAAATTGTATTTCCAGAGAACGAGGAGAAACCTTGAGATTACTGATTACATAAAGCAAATAACTCACATAGCAGGTGTTAATTCAATCCAGGGTGAATTTAATTTACCAGGTGTATTTATAAGCCTTAATATAATATACATAAGCAATGAGAGTTTAATGGAACATTTGAGCCTTAATTTTATTAAAAAAGAAAGAAAGGAAATAAAACTTTCTACCAGCAGGATCATTAGTTTTCACCAAGTACTGTTGGCTTAGAAAAGCTTTTTATTCTCAGAGTACTGTCCTTATGGCCCCTGTAATATACTGGAAAGTGTTTTTATATATTTTATATATTTTAATCCTCACCTGAGGGAATATTTTTTCATTGATTTTTGGGGAGAGAGAGAGAGAGAAAAATATCGATGTGAGAGAAAGACATCGGCTGACCGTTTCCCACATGACCCTGCCCAAGGCCAGGGCTGGGGATTGAACCACAACTGAGTTACAGGCCCTTGACTGGAACTGAACCCACAGCTCTTTGGTCTGTGGGCAGATGCTCTAACTGCTGAGCCAAACCAGCCAGAGCAGAAAATTAATGTCTTTAAAAAAAAACTATTGGAAATGGCAAACAGAGAAACTCTTCCATTTGTTGTTAAAAATATGGGTGAGGTTGGTGCTGCTATAAAAACAAACACTAGTGATCCAAGGCAGGGAACACGTCCCAGCGGTGGTCTTCTTAGGTCCAAAGCAGATAAGTGAGGCTGAGACATTGCAGGGATTGCCCAGGAACCCCACGGGACGAGGTCAAAACCACTTCTGACTTCAAGCTGAAGCTGAGTACGGTGACCCCATTTACCAAATCCCAAATTGGGTCATGGATTTTTTTTTTATGACATTTTCAATGTACAAGGAAACCTGGGAGGTGGATTTTGTGCACTGATGTGGAATTCCTGGGATGTTTTGATGGTTCATGTGGAACCAAAGAAAGATTTCAAATGGTGATCTGTTGTCATAAAGTATTTTAGTGTTTTCCTTCAATGGGATTCTTTGAAGATTCAGTCTATCTTTGACAAAAGACAGACTGAAGGACCCTTTGTTGTATGTTTGGCCTCTCTCCTTTCTGCAAGTGTTTAAATGTGTCATTGGACAAAAGGTGCTTTGCAACAGTTGGCTCTGAATGAAGACCTAACTTTCCTCAATATGACTTGACCCGTGGACCACTTCTGTCTGAGATGCTGTCTGTGTACACTGACCTGGCCAGCTGACAAGCCAGAAATAAGAAGTGTAACTGGTTTTCCCTGATCGGCCAATGCCTCGGGTCATATGAAAAGGCAGCTGCAACCCTTCCACGGTACAGCAAGTTCCTGAGGTTGCAGGGTTTTTCACTTCCTTTTCCTTTCCTTTCCTTCCCTCTCCTTCCTTCCTTCCTTCCTTCCTTCCTTCCTTCCTTCCTTCCTTCCTTCCTCCCTCCCTCCCTCCCTCCCTCCCTCCCTCCCTCCCTCCCTCCCTCCCTCCTTCCTTCCTTCCTTCCTTCCTTCCCTCTCTTTCTTTAAAGAATCAAATTTCTTTCTCTAAAGAATCAAATATTAGTGCCTGGATTCTATTATTAAGAAATATGTATATCTATCTATCTATCTATCTATCTATCTATCTATCTATGAAGACTGTATCTCTTGTGGCTATTTACCTACTTTATTTATTTGGTGGAAACTGCTAATGTGATTTTTTCAGAATTCTGCTTTTTCTGTGTTATAATTTGGAGAAGACCTATTATTACTAAGATGTTGGTATATAATATTGGTATATTAATATACAAATAACTCAGATGTTTGGGGCAGAGAGTTATATAGTATTAAAGATTTACTGAGATAGTCAAACTAATATTTTCAGCCACCAGGCATTTGGAGGTAAGATTATGGATGTGCACGGATATTAATTATTTTAAGAAGGCGATATAGCTTCAGTTTTCATTCTAGAATATGTAGAAATATTCAGGCCCAGTCTTTCCTCTCAGTTATATAAAAGTTCATTATTGGATGCTTGCATACATTTAACAGATGATGCTCAAATGTGTAGTATCTGATTTGTTATTGTGCAAAAGAATTAATTGCCACTTATTTTCATTTGTTCTATTTTCATCTAAAAGAAAGATTCTCTTAAGAAGGCCAAGAAAGACGGTGGTGGTTGGCCCTAGCATTCTGTTAATAGATGAGAGAAGCAATTTGTTCCCTTTTTCTTCCAAAGACTATGTTCTGTAGTTTAAGACTGTCTTATCTGGCCGAGTTAAAACATAAATCTCATGCTTAGCAGCCTTCTACGTACACTGGCTTTCAGCTTTACCAGTACATAAAAACTGTTTCAGTGACCATTTCCAAAAGACACAAATACTGTGGCTGTTAAAGTTTGTAACAGGATTCCATTCCTTATTCACAATAGAGAATGTTCTTAGACCCTCGCGATGTATAACATTGCACATTTTGAAGACAGCTTCTCTGTATGCAATCTGAGTAAGAGTATGATAAAAACAGACACAGCTTTCACGGTCCCCTAAAAAAACACTTGCGATCCAGGCTGAACCATTCAGGACTCTGAACGAGACATGAAGCCCCAGCCTCAGGTCGTATTTCAGAGTCTCACACAGCTAAGTTAAACCAACGGACTCATGATAGTCTTAAGTTCAGGATCTTACGTAAGTTGGACCAAGAGGACAGTTCTTAAGCTTGCTCTCCCAAACCATTCATTTATTTATTTGTTTAAGAAACATTCTCCAAATACCCACGGAGTTCTGTAGCCTTGGGTGAGGTGCTGGGATACAGAAAGAATAGTATTCCTCCACTCTGCCCACCAAAGAAACAAAAACATAAACAAGCACCACTCCCCAATAAGTGCAAAGATAAAGAACTGTTTTTGTTATATGCATCAACCTATTTTACTCACATTTATCTTAAGCATAACAATGTACAGCCCCAACTATTGTAGGGCTCCCTTGGCACTCAAAACACAAATTCGTGTTTCTAAAAACTGTGAGAAATAATATCAGGTAGTACTGTTCCATTGAAACCTTGATTTGGCTGTTAGGCCGCCTGGAAGCAATCGATGCTGAGATGCAGCATGTTAATTGCAAGGGAGACAGGAAGTGGCAGGTGTTTCCAGCCCTGATGAGCTGCATTGAAATTGATGTTTTCTGCGTTCTGGATGACAATTCCGCAATCTCTGTCTTCCCAGGAAGCAGATTTACAAGCTTTTCCTTCCAAACTGGAAATGGCAGCCTGTCCCACCCAGGAAGCCGATCAGAGAACTCCCTCAGCATATGGCCCAGGTGGCCGCTCGGGCTGCCGCATGAACCCAGGGAGTGGCAGCGATTGGATGTGGTGAGCTCCAGTGTAGGAGTTGATTGTAATAAGAAGGGTCACGTACAGGGGAGCGTGTACTATTTCACCTACTGTTTACCTTCTAACCTCACTGCCGAGTAGCTTGTAAAAGATTAATTTGTTCCCACAATTGGGAACTGCTCATGTGGATTCAAATGTGTTACATGTGCTCTGCTGTAAATCCTGAAATGAACCAAAAATAAATGGTTTTGTGTCCAAGGCATCGAAACATTTCCACGCGGGCTTGGTCTGGCACCTCCGAGGGCGGTGTGCGTTTCATTTCTTTCTTCTCAGTGAAAGGACCCGGACAGAGTGTTGATTTCGTGTAGGAGTCTGAGTCAGCGATGGACGCCTGATTCCCACTGGGGCACCTGGAAGGACTTACCTGCCCAGCAGACTGGATTCGAATGGAGGAGGAGCCGAGAAGGCTCACCTCGGGTGTTCTCTCAACAAAGAAGGCTATTCTCAGAGCTGGAGGGGGGCCTAGTCTCGGTCCACCTCCCGTTTCTCTTACCTTCGCACCGGGGTGGCGTGGTTTTGTATTTCAGTCGCTCAGCAGGAACGCCCCCTCCTGCACAGAAGGGCCTCTACCTTCCACTCACTCTTTCAGGGCCGAGTGTTTGTTGCTGTTTGTAACCCCCGTGCCTGCAAATTCATGAACTGTGAGTGGGTAGCACACCTGAATGGCCACACCAGCGTCATGAGGCGGTCGGTCCCCGTCATTTCACACACTGTTTTCCCATTGTGTGAAAGCTTTGGTCTGCTGATCACCCACCGAAAGTAAACAGAACTGCAGATGACAGTGCCTGTTTTGCAAGCGCTAACATGCCGAGGGAAGAGCGCCAAGGAACGGCCTGCCCCCTTGGATGGCGCCTGGTGAGTCTTCCTCCCGCCCCTGCTGGGCTGGTGTGCCCTCCTCCTGCCGGCGAGCCACAGGCCCTGGCCTTTAGCTGACCCATGCGCTGCAACTCCCCATCCCTCAGCCTGCGGGGCGCGCTTGGTAATTCCATGCTCACTCCCTCTCCCAGCTCATCTCCAGAAATGCTAAAACGAAAACCAAGGCTGTCTTGGCTCTCAGGAGCCCTCTGCCCCGGCAATGGTGATGAGCCTGGGAATTCAGCTCCCCCTCTGCCAGGCGCTGGCCTAAACTCTGGACGTGCATTATTCCTTTCAATCCTGAGAGCGAAATCCTGAAGATCAACATGACCCCATTTTGAGATGACAGGACTGAGTCACAGAGGCTTAGGAGCTTACCTGGTCATCCAGGTACACAGAGGTGAAATGGAGGTAGGACGCAGATGTTGGCTTCTAGACATCAGGCTGCACGGCCTTGCTCTGGGTCCCCACCTGGACTTGTGCCTCGTGCTGACCTGCTTCTTCTCCTCCTACCCTAGACCCGGTCCCCTGGCCACCCTCCCCAGCACCCCATGCAAAGCCCTACTCAGAGGAACCCGAGAGTAGAAGCCAAAGCTGCTGCTT